GGGGTCTATAGGATCTATAGGGCTTGGATTTACGTTTTAGGGCTTAGCATTTAGTAAGGTTTAGAGTTCAGTCCTGTTCGAATACATGACGCACAGATTATCTAGGGAACCCCCTTGTTTGGAAGCGCCCGTCTCAAGACCCCAAGCCCGAAACCCTAAAACNNAAACCTTAAACCCAAAAACTCAAGCCCCAAACCTTAAACTCCTTGAACCCTAAATCTTATGTTTTTTTGCCTGCAAGTTGAGTATGCAGCCTATGGAGCCAGGTGCAGGTGGAAGTCCTTGAGCAGTGGCTCAGTCGCCAGTCTACCATGCTGGAGACTGGGTCCATTCATACAGTTTAGGTTTTAGGTCTTAGGGCTTAGGCTTAGGGTTTCGGGTTTCGGGCTCAGGGTTTCGCATTTAGGGTTTAGGAGTCACAAGGTTTGGGGTGTAGGGCTTCCGGGAATACAGTTTTAGGCTGTGGGCTTTTAGGCATGTTGTTTGCTCATGATTTTCCTATGGATACTAGGCCTTCAGCGGTTCCCCCGACGGCCTGGCCCAGCTTATTACTCGAGACCCTAAACTGCGTTGCTGTTGAGGAACTTAAACTGAGCAACTCTCATAAGGAAACCTCATTATGTAATGAATACACCCCCCAGTAAATCGAGGAAACCTTCCTCACCAAACAGCAGAGCCTGATCGAGCAGATGGCGAAATACCGTCATGTGGAGGCGCCTGAGACCCAACGTTCGGGTTTCTCCAAGTTGCGGGTCTTAAGGGGCTCTAGCGGCAAGCGCATGTTAAGAAGCACTAAAGACCTCTGAACCCGCACCTACCCCTCGCAAAGCCCTTTAAGACTCCCAGCAAATCAGTATCTTACTGGGTGTTAATACGGGTCATATGGGAATTAGATTCCCTTTTTCCCTACTAACCCCTGGTACGGTATAAAGCCCCCGTAGCCAAAGCAAATACTCATAGCCAAACATGCCTTTTCGAGCTTGTGCTACCCTAAAGTGAATTTTCCGGCTGCCGGAACGTGCAATTGGGCGCCTGGCAGGAAAAAAAGAACCAAGACTTGAGAAATCTCGAACCCTAATTCAGCCTCACACTATCCCCTATGAACGTCGATTATGAAACCCAACTGAAGAAACCCAAACCTAAAACCCTAAAACCCCCAAACCCTAAACCATAAAGTCCTAAACCCAAAACCCCAAACCCAAAACCCCAAACCCTAAAACCTAAACCCTAAAACAAACCCAACCCAAACCTAAAACCCTAAAAACCTAAAACCCGAAACCATAAAGTCCTAAACCCTAAACTTAAACCCCAAGACCTAAACCCTAAACCCTAACATCCTAAACCCATACAAGCCCTAAAACCCCGAACCCCCCCCCTCCCCCGAAACTCTGCAGGTTCGAAGCCCTCCCTCAGTGTTTGGTCCCGAGGGCTGCTGCTCCGTCAGCGGCGTCCGACCCAGGCGGTTAAGGTTTTAGGGGTTCAGGGTTTTTGGGTTTAGGGTTTTAAGGTTTTAGGGTTTTAGGGTTTAAGGTTGTAGGGGTAGGGTTTAGGGAGTTTAGGGCTGTAAGGTTTAAGGTTTGTAGGGTTTAGGGTGTTAGGGTTTAGGGTTTAGAGTTTAGGGTAAAATACAATAGGGACTTTTGTAGGGGAAAAATAAAGGGATTCGAGATAAATGTAGAGGGTGTATAATAAGAGAATTTTGTTAACTTCAACCTCCGGAGTTGGACCTTATGACGATTATATGATTACCATCCGTCGCAAACTTTTGGGGGCTTGGGGTTACAAAACACCCTCCTAAACCCTAAATCCTGAACCCTTAACCCTAAACCCTAAACCCTAAGTATCATGATTCGGCGCAGGGAGAATTGCACGCCTTTGTGGCAACTTTGGGGTTGGTGATTTAAGGAGGTTTCCCAAAACATTAGTGATACCTTTCTGGGGGGACCTAATAATAAGGACTATATAGTACATTGGGATCTATATTGGGGTGCCCCTATTCTTGGAAACTACCACTTAGGAGGTTTAGCATGAACGGTGAAGGAATTTAGATGGAGAGGTGTTTGCAAAGCTTGGTAGGGAGGCATTCAGAATGGGATCCTGGATAGCTGAAGACACAGATGATCCCCAGAAAAGAATCCTAATAATCCGAGTCATCGCATTCTTTAAACGTCAGGGAGTCAGCAGATAGCACTCTTTTCATCCCTTTTCCATTGCTGGAGAGGCCTCTCGTTGCGTGACTCCGCATTTCTTTCGAGCGTCTAGCCTTAGCGAGCGCAGAGCAGCGCTTTCCTAGCTTCAACAAGGAGCTGTTTCACCCGAAGTAGCACGCCAAAAGGTGGAAAACGGTGACAGCTCACAGACCGCAACTGTTGGAATCTAGGGCTTCTGTAGGGTTTCTTTGATGGCTAACCAAACCCATGAATAACAATAACAATATTCATCATGAAATTTTCAGAGAACAAGAGTAATATTCATAATATTATGCATAATAGCAGTAATAATATGAATATAAATATAAATATGGGTGGTTGTCAAAATTATGGTCCTTTTTGGATCCGTATCATAGTACGGCACCGAATATTTAGGGTATCCAAAAAGGGACCATCATTTTGACAACCAACCATATGAATCATAGTATCAGGATTCTGGTGCTCGACAGGTGTATGTGCCAGATGAGATCAAGGCACTCCCAGCAGAGGCGGGAAGGAGCAGGACAAGGAAGGAATGGCTTGCTGGACGATTCGAATGGGGATACTCTAGCTACCATTTCAGGGTATAGGGGATACTCTAGATACTACTATGGAGTAGTAGAATTTTTAGGAGTAAGACTATATCTTCCTTTTGGGTAGAGTATTTCATATGAAAAAATAGTCTGACTTGGTTCAACCACCAGCAAAAGCTACTCTATTGGGATCCGTACTTGCATTCCTTACTAGCTACCAGGTGACAGGGAAGTGGAAGTGAATCTCAGAATTGATCCCTTCATTATCCACATGTGAGTGGTTTCCAAGCGTAAGGGGCCCTAGAACCCAAGTTCTAGGTGCTCTACTAGCTCCTGATTTTGGAAGCGCCCACATCTGTTAGCCCTGCGATGCAGGTATGCATTCACTGCACTTCCCCCTTCCGCAGAAGTAAGGTTGATCAAGTCCTTAAACCTCGAGCCTCTTTACCTTTTATCCTGGATCCGAAACCCTAAATCCTGACCCTAGACCCTAAACAAACCTAATACCTACATCACAGACCCTGAGCCCTAAACCCTGAACACTAAAACCCAAATTAAATCCTAAACACTGAACCCTAAAAACCCTACACGAAATCCTAAACGCTGAACCCTAAAACCTAAATTACATCCTAAACCCTGAACCCTAAAATTCAAATTCAGTCCTAAACCCTGAACTCTAAATTCCAACTTAAATCCTAAACCCTAAACCCTAAAATCCAAATTACATCCTAAACCCTGAACCCTGAACGTTAAGCCTTAAATCCTAAACCCTAAACCTTAAACTCCTCAACCTTAAACCTTAAATCCTAAGCCTTAGACCCTAAACCCTAAACGGAATAAACCCAACCCTAAGCCCGAAATCCTAAACCCCTTCGACCTAAGCCCCCAAGCAGGCACCCATCTTGAAGAGCCGCCGCCTCCGGGACCGTGCTTGCTGGCTGTATCTCTCAGACAGACTCTGTGGGGTTCTGCAAAAGGGTGTTTAGGGTTTAGGGTTTGGGATTTAAGGTTTAGGGTTTAGGATTCAAAGTTTAAGGTTTGGGTTTAAGGTTTCAGGTTTAGGATTTAAGATTTCAGGGTTTAGGGACCCCAGGGATATAGGGAAGGCATCAGGATTGTAGGGGCTCCCCTTAAGGATCATGCAAGGACTGCTGTCAGAAACTCCTACGTACTCTAACCCAACAGGGGAGAAGGTCCCTAGTGCCCATAGAATCTCTCTACATAGACCCCTAAACCGAAACTCTAATTCCTAAGCTCTAAATTCTAAACCCTAAGCCCTGAATCCGAAACCCTAAACCCTAAATCCTTAAACCCTAAACCCAAAATCTGGTGCTGCAGGATCCTGACGGCGAGCTGCTGCTCCCTTTGAAGACTGCCAAGCCCAAAAGCAAGGCAAAGAAGAAGGCGGTTGGGTGGCGGCCTCAGGCCTAGGAGTCTAAGGGTTTAGGGATTTAGGGTTCAGGGGTTTGGGTTTAGGTTTTAAGGTTTAGGGTTTAGGGTTTAAGGTTTAGGGTTTGTAGGGGGTTTAGGGTTTGGTGTTTAGGGTGGAGCATTGCGTGAGAACTTCGCATCATGTCTGCAACGAGGTTCAATACCCCACGGTCGAAGAAGTGAACACGACCCTGCACCTGCGCTGAATTTGGAGAATTGAAAAACTGCCCCCTCTCCTGCAGCTGACACCTGTTCCTTCGCAGCCGCTTACCTGTTGATGCTTGAAGACGCTTCCTGCCGTTGCCCGCCGCAGAAGTTTGAAGGAGCCAGAAAGGGCAAACGGAACCCAACTCCAGCCAAAACCAAGCCTTAAAAAAAGGCCAAGCAAGGCCAAACTTCCGCACTTTTCAGCCCAAGCCCAGCCAAGCCCACGTCAGATCCCTCGTTGTCCTTTCAGGCTTCGTGAGACCGGAGGCCGTAGGATGGTGAAGGGAGCCATGTACAGCTTGACAATGCCGGTCGCTGGTAACCAGCAGCTGCATTGACTGGGCCGGGGGCCCAAGACTCGACTGTGGTGAAGCCGCTCCTTCATAGGAACGCATCTGCCTACCTGCCTACTACGTGTTTCGACCCATGCACAAGAGCAGCGCAGCTCCTCATCCATTGGGTGGAGCAGAAGTGGCCATACATCACAGGGTGCAAGTTTGGGGTTGTGTTTCCGCAAGGCTTCACGTGATGCCCTTCAAGAAGCACATCAGGCAGAAAGCGTGCTATGGCTTCATGTCAGCTTGTGCAGGCTTACAACCCTAGATCCTGCACAAAGCCCTAAAGCCTGAACAACGACTGGGTTGCCGTGAAGGAGCTTAAATTTAGCTACCCTAATGTGGGTAAATAGTAAATCATCGGGTTTCCTTATTCTAGTAACTTAATTCAAATTCCTTAATAGCAGCCCTGAACAATTACTCCTCCCGGTGCAACAGGCCAGGCAAGATTGAAGCCAGTCCTGACGGCAATGCTTTGGCTCGGGATCTCAGCTACATACAGTAGGGCTTAGAGATATATGTCCCTTTGGATGAAATAGGGACATATATGGGGTTTGGGGACATTATTCCTTCCAAGCCGATTGTTTTCAGATTGCTGTCTCTTGTGAGAAAGGACCGCTGCTCTAGTCGAAGCTTCTAAGCCTTGCTGCGCTGTTTGTGAGGTCGTTCATTTCACCTCTGAGATCACCCACTTGGATGAGGCACGCCGATGTGCGTTCCATTGCACCTGACTTTGAAATCACAAGCCGCGATTGCAGCAGGATGGTATGCCCATCAACGTGCTCAGCCTAGACTTGCAAAGATAGATATGGTTCTCTTTACTCTTACTATTGCTTTTCACTACAATTATGTTTGTTTGTTGCTATTGGTATTTCTATTACCATCAAAGTCAGTTGGTGCCGTGAAGCACTAAGGTGGAGAAGATGCCAGACAAGCGCGAGGTGCCTATTGGCGAAGCCATGCGAGGCTCTGCCGGCCATGAAAAGCAGGCAAAGTGTTGCAGTTGTGAAGCCTGGGAAGGTCTCTGTGAAGAGGAACTGCCTGGGCTGGCACAAGAAATTGTTGAGAAGCAGCTCGGCATCGTTAAGCCTGAGTGATCCAAAGGTCTAGCACCACTACTGCACACTGCACATGCTTATAGTCCCCCTGAAGTAGATAGAATATGGCTTGCGGTATATTACAATAAGATCCCCATACACCCCATATTCTATCTACTTCAGGGGGACTATACTTCAAGATCAAAGCCGCTGTGGACAGCCTGAGGTGCCGATACATCCCAGAGAGCAAGACTTCGCAAGTGGCGAAGGCAGAGCTCTCACCCCGCAAAGTTTCATGTGAGCTTGTTCTGAGCTGATGAAGGTAGACAGACGATAGCCGTTGGACACATGTACTGAGCCCATAGACAATATTCAAATAGGTGAGACAGTAAGCTCAAACGACGTTGCAACACATCTCGTCAAGCTATCTCGTCAAGTTATTCAGGCAGCTATAGTGTATAAAGCCTTGTCCTAAAGCAATCTGAGTAGTGCGCTGTGACACTCCATGCGAGACACGCTTGCTACATTGCGCTTTCTACAGAGAGGCTCATGGCACATGCCCCACTTCCAACTTTGTGAGCTGTTCTATGTCTTCATAGGCACATCATAGCTTGATTGATGCAACTTAAGCCTGCACTTTCATAACATCAGAGATACGTGTTGCAGCAAGTGATGCTACGAATGCGTGCAACAACCCAGCACAGGAAGGGCTACAGTCCTTCACACAAAATTTGAGCAAGACTCCAGGGTTTAGGCGCTTTAGTGTCTAATGATCCAGAGTCGCACACGTCACCACCCAAGCACCTATGATAGGTAGACTTCTTGCGACTTCTTGCGTCGCGCTCACTTCTTGGCTTAAGCAAGCTCGTAGCAAAGCCTCGCTGTCCAGTCCGTTTGCGTTTGTACGTACGTACGGGCCTCTGGAGGCTTCAAAATCACAGAGGGCTCCCTGCACACCTACAAGCTTGAAGTGCTAAGGTTCACAATGGCAGAGGTTCGTCAGGGCGGGTGCGCCTGGCCTGGATGCAAACAGTTTCGTCCTCATAAGTCCTCATCCCACTTCTGTACTGTCCTAAGGAATTGCTTTCACTATCTTTCACTGTTTTATTATACGAGAACCCTAAGGAAATATTCAACATACTATTTTTAGTATAGGCCTAAGGAAACTACAGACTTGTCGCATGCCAGTTCCACCATCTGCTTGGGCTTTACCGAAGGCGAGGCCGCCTTCGCCTTGGCTTTGCAGAAAGTTTGGGGAGTCCCCCATATGGATATAGTCCCCCTTGAGTAGATAGAATATGGGGCATATGGGGATCTTACTATATTATACCCAAAGCCATATTCTATCTACTTAAGGGGGACTTTTTTCAGGGGGTCCCTTTAATCTTGGAATCTAAAGCGCTTTGCTTACTCTGAGGCGAAGGTTGCATCCAGCGGTCTGCCGCCAGGACACCGGTGTGGCTGTCAATCCCCTTCCACCTCATAATGAACCCCTGAAAGATAGATATTCACCCAAGATTTAGACGATAAGTTTCCCCCTCAGATTTACTGGCATGACATTGGGGTGTATTTCACTCCCTAAACGCCAAGTCACTCTACCTTCCAGGAGGAAAGTCGACCATCTACCTTGGTATGGACTCGGTGACCGATATCCCCAAGCGTGAGATGCTGGCACCGCCCGGTGGGGTCCCTGGAGGAACACCCAGAAAGTGACCTATGGGTGCTTAAGGGGGAGTGAAAATAGGTACCATTATAGGGGTATATATGGGCATTATATAAGGACTATTATAGGGGTATATATGGGGATTATATAGGGACTAGTATAGGGATCCACTCCAGTAAAGCTAGTAGTTTTCCCTAAGTTGGATAAGCCCAATATAGACTGCAATATATCCCCAAAAGGTTATCCCGAATTTCGGGAAACCCCCTGGAGCTGATGATGCCAAGGTGGGAAGTCGACCATCTGCCTGGGAATGGATCCTGCGGCTTCAGCCCCGGTGTCTTCCAATGCCTTTGCCTGTGGGGCGCATCAGAATTCCGGGAATGTGCTCACGGAGCGCCCAACGACCCTGCTGCATGCGCCCCCGGGGGGCAGGGCCACGATCTGCCTCGGAATGGACACTGAGCAGATGGAGACTCCGAAGCGCATCGAAACAAGTGATGGCAACTCTGACACAAGCGATCTCCAGAGCTTCCGCCCTGCGGGGAAGAGCACAGCTCCAAGTGTCGCAGACTTGGAGACAGAGAGGCCTCTAACTTTCCGGCCGGTTGGTGGAGAAGATCACATTGTGTTGGGTGCAGAGAAATTCCAGCGCGCCGACACTACTCACCGGGCCACTGCTGGCGGAAACTCCAGCATTTGTTTTGGAACCGACATCAGCCGAGACCTCGGTTTTGGCTAGCTTTGGCAGTATTAAATATAGTAGTTTCCATTGTATTTTCCATTATCCCAATATAACCCCAATATGAACCCAATATACTATAGTCATAGTTTCCATTTTCTTTTCCATTATCCCAATATAACCCCAATATACTGTTGTATGTGGCGGACGCCGAGGTGAATGGAAGGTCTCCTCCAAAGCTTTGGGGCAGACTCTTACACCATCCCCAGCAGAGCTGCCCGCAGATATGCCATCTGAGACGCCAGAGGCCGGCTTTCAAGCGGCACTACCATATTCTGATAATACTATTCTAGTATACCGTATTATAGTCTATTACTGTAGATTACTGTAGTATACCATATTAAAGTATACTATATTATAGTCTACTATATTATAGTATACCATATTCCAGTCTACTACACTATAGTATTTCAAGAAGGCACACCTTCCACGTCACACGGTAGGAGCCGCAGACGGAGACATCGACGGCTGCAGCAGTCAGCCCTTCCACCGATATGAGCATGAAAGAAGAGCAGACGGACGAGGCGCTGCAACTATGAAACCGGCCATGAATTATCCCCCGTGTGGGGGGTTTCCCGAACTTCTGGGTACCTTTTTGGGTGTCCAGATAGTAAGGACTGTAGTATTTTGGGGTGTATATACTACCATATAACCCAGTTCCCATTTCATTTTCCATTTCTTTTCCACATAATTCTTGATTATTGGGAAAATCGCAATATGATCCATGTTCATCCGCATACAATCTCCATAGAATTGTCCTAGCTTCCACACTTCATTATCCATCTTCTTTTCGACGCATTTCTCCATTATTGTGATAACATCCCTAAACCCTAAATCCTATATCCCCCTATATCCCTATATATCCCTCTCTGTCCCTTTGTATCCTTAAAGCCCTGACGAACTGAGCTGACTTCAGATCTCTCATTGCTGCAGGCGAAGGAAGATGAAGCTGAGGCTCATCCCGAGACTGAAGAGGCATCCGGGAAGACTTAGGGTTAAGGGGTGATTATAGGGGTTATATTGGGATTATATAGGGATACAGGGTCTTATTGGGCTTAGTGGGGATTATATGGGGATAATGGAAAAGAAAATGGATTATAGAGTTTAGGGTGTTGGGTCCCCCTCAAGTAGATAGAATATGGCGTATATGGGGATCTTATCACAGTGTACCCAAAGCCATATTCTATCTACTTAAGGGGGACTCTAGGGTTTAGGGTTTAGACCTCCATGTGGGCCTTGCAGGTAGGTGAAATCATGACCCCAAACCCGTAACAATGGTCCAAAATCCAAAAGGCCATTATTCTACGTACTTTGGGGGTCCAGGTACTTCTTGGGTTCCAAGGTGTTTATTTGCAGGCGTGTTTTGAAGCGTCATCTCCACTAGTGCAGACGGTGAGTATCTGACATGCGCATGCTTGGGATTAGATTCGATTCCGTAGGTCTGCGTGGCTTCGCCAGCACGCTCGCGCCTTCCTCCCGGAGGCCCTTATGCATGCATGCCACATGTGATGCGTTCCAGACTATCTCCCCCAGGTGTCTCTTCCGTGGTGCTGGGAACAGCTGCCAGTGAGTGGAAGGTGCGAGAGCACCTCTTCCCACCATACAGCTCACCCGTGAAGAAAGCTTAGCGGGTGACGCGACATGAGGACCGTTCCAAGGATGAGGTGAAGCAGCTGAAGCAGGCACGCACGCACGAGCTGAAGGACTCATGGACCCCACTTTGCTCGTGGCTTCGGCAGGACGTGCCTACCCCCGCTCGCAGCATCCGTGCGCCTCCTGGTGGCGTGCCGGACTTAGACCAAGGGCTCAGGAGACTAGGCCGATCTGACAAGCGAGGGCCATGACGCGTGACGGTTCAAAGCTGTCAACGAGGCTGCCACGGTGCTGCTGGGATGAGTCGTCAGCTTGCAAACCTTGCAGTATCTATGCAGTATCTTTGCAGTATGATATAGGATCTCAATTCGGCATCGCCGCCCTTGCAGATGTTTTTTTGAGTGCTGAACTAGCCCTTGCGGACTTTTCAGAAGAAGATGGAAGAAGATGTATCCTCTGAGCCAGAGACCACTAGGGCAAAGAACAGCTCTTGAGCAAAATTCATCTTTGGATGGAAAAAGCAGCTGGGCAGACTGCAGCCCGACTGCACTGACGTGCACTATGCATTCCGGGCAGCCGCAAAAGGACATAGAATGCTTCTGGGCAAATTTGCCAAGTTATGGAATTTCACTGCGAAAGTCAGTGCTTTGAGTAGGTTCTCAAGAAGCTCTACGGGCTGCAGACATCAGATGGGCCAGAAGCTTGGTGTCATGGCCACGGTGAGAGAACTTAGTAACTTCCTAAAAGACTCAACGACCTGCTTTCCTGTCTTTTTGCTTGCCAGCTAAGGCCATTCAGCAAGGACTTTGGGGCAGGCCATCCGAGAGCCAACTGCTTGTCTCTAACATAGAAGCGGACGTAGCATTACTTCTATAATGATTATGACTATTCAGATTACTGTCATTCTGCTATCAGAATTGCTAGTATTATTATGACATATCATGACTATTATTAGTATTATCATTATTTGCAATTAGAATTACAATTCCATTGCAATGGTTGTTTCAAGTAATATTAAGGAAATACTACTCTTGTCAGTGTAAAGGACTAAGAAATTTACTATTCCTATTATCATTACTGTTGCTATTCTGATTAGGGTTGTTCTTCGGAAAGGTGCCACGCAGTCCTCGACGAACCGGACTTCTGGGGGGGATAGCGTGCTGCCCGCCCAGTGGGGGAGCCCGCTTGTTGGAGAGCAGGGAAGAAGCATCTTCAGGGGGACTACTGGGGTTAGACATACAGTCTAAGAAGTAGTCAGCATAGCCCAAACCCATATTAGGGTCCCCTAAAAGGAGAATGCAAGGGGCAATCTGGCATACCTCTTAACTTCCTTTCGGGGTATGCCCCTAGGGTATGCTGAATGTCTCTGAGGTACACCTTTTTGTAGGTGTTTCAATTATTCGTGCTGCTGTGGCTAATGATCATTTTCAGGCAAACAGAGCTGCTTGCTGCAACGTAGGCAGGAGGTGTTTCAAAGGGTTTCGGGTTTGGAGTTTAGGACCCCCCAAGGTAGGCAAAATGATGGCCCCCAAACCCATAACAATGGTCCAAAAGGCCCTTATCCTATAGACTTTGGGGGTCCAAGTAGAGCAAGGAAAGCGCTAGCCCCAATCCCTAGAAGCCCTAATCAGAAAACCCTATGAGCCCTAAACCTATCGGGCATGACTGGACTGACTTGGCAAGGTTGGAGGACCTGCTTCCCAGCGCCTCGGACGCGGCCCCAGCTTAGCGTATCCATGAGGCCCAAAATGGCTGGCCACATAATTTTGATATGTTTGTGTATTCATATGCATATGAATAAGAACAGTATTAGCACTAGTAATTCTAACAGATGCAATAGTGGTAACGACAATGATTTTTTCTGTAGCAGTAGAATGCCCAGAATCCCGGCTTTGTGCTTGTCCTTCCGCGACTCAGCCCCTCTTGCCATCCTTGGACTCGCTCTGCTTGCCCGCGGCCCCAAAAAGCTTGGAGCCATGTAGAGTCAGGGCCGGGGCTCACACGCATGGTCTTGCTGCAGTGGACAGGCTGTCCACTGACCCTTTGCGTGGGAAGAATCCGTCCCATTTTGGGGATGCCGGGATGCGACAGGCTGATATAAACAGAATGTCCCTAAGGTTAGGAACCTCGACGAGTACGTCGAGGAGCTCTACGAGGAGCGCTTTTGTTTTCTCCTTGCGGGAATGCTTTTCTGTAGAATTCTTACAGACAAATAGCAATTAACCACCACATCAGGATAACTGAGAAACCTGTTCCCTCTGAAACTCTGAAGATGAGCTTCCATCAACGGACGCGCTGTGCGAGGAGCAGATGGACATGAAGGTCCGAGGTGCGCAAAGGCTGCTGAGACTTTGCACCGAGGCTCGGAACCTTCAGAAGATAGGCAGATCCTTGTCAGTGCAGAGGCCTGAACAATCAGGGACTAGGGTTTATAGGGTTTATAGGATTTATCTCCATAATCATGGTCCCACAAAAGAGTAAACGTGATGGACATGCCACATAGAAATGTATGAGCAAGAAAACTCCACAACGTTCAAACCTGTTAAGCGTAGCCCGCACCCAGTAACAGTTGGATAGTAGTATACTTCTATATAGCCCTTAATATTACCATGACTATAGACTGTTATTGGGTGGGAGCAGTACCCAATGTTAAACATGCATCAAAACCCTAAACCCTAAACTGCCTCATGACGGCAGGTCCGGGTGTTAGACCAACTGGCGGAGCACTCCACCCTGTTGGGAGCCCTTTCCTTAGTTTCGGGTTCAAGGTTTAAGGGGGATACTCTGAGTTTAGGGCTTAGGCGTTTGGAGGGCTTCAGGATTCAGATAGTGTAGGTGCACGGGCTATCCCTAGACACCGTCTTGGGAGCAGCCCTAAACCTTAAACCCTGACGCGGTCTAAAAACCCTATACTATAGCCCCCGTTAAGTAGATAGAATATGGGGTATATGGGGATCTTATTAAAACATTCCCAAAGCCATATTCTATCTACTTTAGGGGGCTTACAAAGCCTGAAGCCTAAGCTGAACTTAGGTGCTAAGCCGCGAGCTGCGGGAAAACGCTAAGCGAAGCTATGAGCTCGCCGTGGCCATAACAGGTGCCTGAGGGGGGTTTAGGGTTTAAGATTTAGGGTTTGGGTTGGGGATTTAGGGTTGAGTGTTTAGGATTCAGGGTTTAGGATGCTTGTGGTTCCTTGGTACTTCTATTCTAGACAACACAACCTTTTCGTAATGCCTCTACCTGGGACCTGGCGCTCGTATTCTTGACATCGCCCGGGTCAGGTATCTTTCTGATCCTCGCAAACTTCTCCTGCTTCCACTTGGCCCTGAAGCGGCATCAGTGTGGGGAAGTGACGATGCGCATTGTGGAGCGGCGGCCCCAGCTTGGTTTTGAGTGTAGCTTTGATGAGTTTACGTGGTGGGGGGGATCCGTTTAGCAGGGTCATAAACTTCTAAGCTGCCACCTGGCCTGTGATTTGAAGCTTGCGCTGAGGTATGAGAGCAAGAGGCGCAATGTCTTGAAGACCGACTTGGCACAGACGCAAGAGAAACTTGCGACACGCTCAGCCAGTAGCAGTACTAGCATTCAACCATACTCTTCGAGCTTATGTTTAGCAGGAAATGAAGGAGTGGATCCCTATAGTAGTCCTCATATAGAATCCCCATGATAGCCCCTGTGTTCCGTTCCCCGCCTAAGCAAGCATGAGCAAGCCTTTAGCAACGAGAAGTTTGAGGCCGGGTCGCAGGCAGGAGATGAGTCGGGGCCTCAGAAGACCATGGTTGTGCCCTTCTCGGGATATTAGTCTCCAGTACTTGGAGAATTTAACGGAAAATGCGGGATTTTACGTAAACATGAAAGTAATGATTGGTCGCGTCAGCTTTTCTGGTGTGCGCGATAGTTCGCGTCAGTAAAACATGAACATTCCCACGCCGATTGTCTTTGCGACAGCAGATTG